TTATTAATTTGTTTTATTTATTATTTTTATAATTTATTAAGAACCAATCAATCATTGTTATTTTTTAGGCTGCAACTTTTCTAGTCTCCACTAATTTTTTTGGATTAGCTGCAAAGATAGGATTTTCTTATGCATAAAGAATAAGTAAATTAAAGAATATGTTAGAAATTTTAATTTTTAAATTGAATTCGTTAATAAACAATAATTTAATGAGATAATTAAATTAAAATTTAATGAAAGCTTTTTAACTATGGAAATATTTCTTAATAAAAATTATTTAAAAGAAAACTAAAATAAGTAAATATTTTAGAATAGAAATAAATATTGATTGATATTTTTAGATTTAAAAGTATTAACAAAATAAAATATGCAAAATAAATATTAATAAAAAGAGATTAATTTTAAAAGCTTAAAGCAAGAGGTTTTAAATAGTTATTAATTTGTTTTATTTATTATTTGTATAATTTATTAAGAACCAATCAATCAATCATTGTTGTTTTTTAGGCTGCAAATTTTCTAGTCTCCACTAATTTTTTGGGATTAACTGCTAAGAGAGGATTTTCTTATGCATAAAGAATAAGTAGAGTAAAGAATATGTTAGAAATTTTAATTTTTAAATTGAATTCGTTTATAAACAATAATTTAATGAAAGCTTTTTAACTATGGAAATACTTCTTAATAAAAATTATTTAAAAGAAAACTAAAATAAGTAAATATTTTATATTAGAAATAAATATTGATTGATATTTTTAGATTTAAAAGTATTAACAAAATAAAATATGCAAAATAAATATTAATAAAAAGAGATAAATTTTTAAAACTTAAAGCAAGAGGTTTTAAATATTTATTAATTTGTTTTATTTATTATTTGTATAATTTATTAAGAACCAATCAATCATTGTTGTTTTTTAGGCTGCAACTTTTCTAGTTTCCACTAATTTTTTTGGATTAGCTGCAAAGATAGGATTTTCTTATGCATAAAGAATAAGTAAAGTAAAGAATATGTTAGAAATTTTAATTTTTAAATTGAATTCGTTTATAAACAATAATTTAATGAAA